GATCGTTTATGTGTTCTTTTAATTCAGTAAAAATGTTTTTGCCAATAAAATTTTTCATTACATTGTATACAAAAACATTCATTTGAAAGGCTTGTAAAGTTGTATGAGTATTTTTAAAAATAGTTAAAGCGGTTTCTACGTTTTTACAGATATAAATGAGATCTTTTGATCTCTTGTACCTTGGTCTAGATGTTTAAGAATGTCACTTTCCTGAGCTGTTAAGAGGTTTTTCTCCTGCAGTTCTTTAAGGACCTCTTTTAGTGATTTGATTGTCTCGCGTGCTTTCTTATATTTATACGTACTAGTATATAACTGGTTCTTCAATTTTTTAATTTGGTTTGTATAATGTTTACGTATTCGAGTTTTTGCAGGTGAATCAAAAATCCTTTGCGGAGATATACTTGTTGACCGATGTATTACTCTTTTATCATTGTATATATTTTCCACAATTGATGTTGCGCCTCTTATATCCTCCTGTATGTTGTATGTTGTTTCACTTTCTATATAAATATCTTTTATACACATACTAGTATCTGTAACGATATTACATATAATTATACTTCACATCTCGTTCTCGATGATTACAATTGTAGTACGCTTCGCGTAGGGAAACTTCACAACGTTTAGAGCTTGCGGATTTTTGTCCCTCCCCGCTTGCGCCGCGCGCCACCTGGATGCCCTCATATTGTTTCGTTGTGCGGAGAACTTCACACGTACGGAGAATTAATAGAAAGATTAACAGGAAAAATAGAATAGATTCATCATGCCGAGTGATAGAAAGAGAAAAAGGTCAAGATCGAGGTCTAAGGAGAATAAAGGATCACAGTCAAAAACGCATAAAGGTTAGAAATTATGGAAAACCAAATACATAACCTAACAACAGTCGTCACAAGATTCATAGAGAATCAACAGGACAACAAGATACGGACTCAGTATCTAGAGGATGATAGTGAAAAAGAATCACCAACAGGTGCGTCAGACAACAAACCTAGGGATAAGAATCCATACGAATCTTTTTCCGAGCGCAGTTTTCCATACGAAGGCTGCGGGCAACAAGCAAAAAAATGTCAATTTCAATAATTGACTTAAATAGCAGTTTTCCACACGAATACTGCGGACAATAAGCCTTAAGTGTCAGGTTGATTGTTACCGCAGTTTCTTCCATACGAAGACTGCGAGCAATAAGCTGAGTGTCAATCTTCAATAAGAAAGTAGTAGCTGTTTTCTTCCACACAAAAATTTTCTTCCTTTTCAGATCTTCCAGGTGTCGGAGAAGCTGGTAGCGACAAGGATGTCGCTAATATAAATGATGAAAGTAAAGATGAGGCTACCGATATAGGTGGTACCGACACTGAAATCTTACAACTGATCGGGAAAGAAACGGAAACTGCTGCTGAATTAAAAATTCAGGAAGAGGTTAAGACGATCTGGAGAAAATTTATGTCTGAAGGCCTACCCGAAAAAGTAAAAACGTCTATAATTACAAAATACCCAAGAGAGGGAAATTTATATACCGAAGCTCCAAAAGTAAATTTGTAGGTTCAACCAGTACTAACGGAAATTACAAAGAAACGCGATCAACACTTTATTGACACTCAGAATACTGCGGGAACGGCCATTGTGGCTCTGACTGCTGCAGTTTCAATGATCGTGGACCAACAGGAAGAAGGATTAGATTACACACAGTTCCTGACTTATCTTTGTGATGCGGGAAAAATATTAACAGATATTTTTTATCAACATTCAATGACAAGAAGGTCTTTTATTACGCCATTGCTTAACAAATCCGTCAAACCCACAGTTGAAGCAGCAAAACCGGATGAAAAATGGCTGTATGGTCAAAAATTTGCTGAACAGGTTAAAGAGGCAAAGGCTGTAGAGAAAGCATGTTCGCAAATCAAGGCACCTGATAAACCGAAGTTACAAGCTAAAACAACTTCGGAAAACTGGAGAAACCCACCTGTCAGGAACAGACAGGTGGGTACATACCAGAATCGTCAAATTTTTCTGAAGAACAGACAGGCATCGTCATCGTCCCACAAATCAGCCAGCAGCTACGCGACTCGTCCGAAAAGTCAGTCGACACACCGTCAATCATCTCAACAGACATCCCGGAAATAGAAGAAGTAAGAATGATAGCAGGAAGATTATCACATTTTGTTGATACTTGGAAAGAAATAACAAGTAACAAATTTGTTATCGAATGCATTAAAGGATATAAAATTCCATTTAATGAAACACAAAGTCAAAATGCAATCCTAAAGGAGCCAAAGTGGAACCCAGGGGAATCATTAAACATTAAGAAGGAAATTAACAAGTTACTAATCAAAGGAACTATTGAGGAATGTAAGAAAAGCGAAAACCAGTTCATTTCTTCATATTTCTTAGTTCCGAAGCCTGATGGCTCTTATAGGTTTATTTTAAACTTGAAAAAGTTGAATAAATTTATCAATCCCTTTCAGTTTAAAATGGAAGACTTAAGATCAGTAAAAAACTTAATGTTTAAGGGAGCATATATGGGTTCTATTGACTTGCAAGATGCGTATTTCTTAATTCCAGTAGAAGAAAATAGTCGCAAGTTCTTGAAATTCAGTTTCGAAGGTCATCTTTATCAGTTTAAATGTCTACCTTTGGGATTATGTACAAGTCCCTTTGTATTTACCAAAATTATGAAAACGGTTATAAACATTCTAAGATCGAAAGGTTTTCTCTCGGTTATATACCTAGATGACTTATTGCTAATTGGGAAGAATTATCAGATGTGTCAAACTAATGTTAAGGAAACGATAAAGATGCTTGAGAAGTTAGGATTTATTATAAATTACAAGAAAAGCTCGCTATTTCCTAATAAAAAATGTAAATATTTAGGTTTTATATTAAATTCAAATAATTATACAATAGAGTTGACGGAAAAGGAAAAGAGACAGGTCTCTGATATACTGGATTATTTCGTTGTTGGAAGGAAAGTAACAATTCGCGAGTTTTCACATTTTTTGGGAGTAGTAACCGCGTGTTGTCCAGCAGTGGCATACAGTAGGATGCATTGTAAAAAATCTTGAAGAAACTAAACATCATATAAATTTCCTTGAACTTTTAGCAAGTTTTTTAGCGCTAAAAGCGTTTGCAAAGAATTTGAGAAATTGCGAAATCTTACTGAGACTTGATAATTTGCATCAAGGGAAAACAAAAAGTGCAATAATTTTTTGTTCGCGATTTCCAGATCCAGAAATTACCTTTGTTGAAGCATTTACAATTAATTGGTCGGATAAAGAATTTTATGCGTTTCCTCCGTTCGCGCTAATAGCTACAACTATAAAGAAAATTATATTGGATAGAGCATGTGGTACAAAAATTGTCCCACTTTGGCCATCACAACAGTGGTACCCTCTGTTAATGTCACTAGCATGTGAACCACCATTGTTTTGTAAATCCAATAAGAACTTATTACTTTCTCCTTGCAGGAAATTGATACATCCGCTACATGCAAGCCTTTCCCTGGTTGCCGTCAAATTATCAGGGAAGCTTTCTTAAAAAAGAAAATACCTGAAGATTCCATAGATATTATTATAAGCTCAGTAACGGATGCAACCATCAAACAATATCAAGGGTATTTAAAACAGTGGTGGGAGTTTACGCAAAAACGAAGATCTGACCCCTTTAGGACTGATATAACAACAATCATACAATTCTTGACAATGAAATTTAATGAAGGAAGCAGTTATGGCTGAATTAACTCGATGAGGTCAGCTATTTCGCTGATTTCAATAGAAGAAATTTCAGAGAATAACACACTGTCGAGATTCCTGAAAGGTATTTACAAAATACGTCCAAGTAGACCAAGATATTCAATTACATGGGATACATCTATTGTTCTTGACTATATTGAAAAATTGGGTGACGCTAATAGTTTAAAAACTCTATCACAAAAGACTTCAACACTTTTAGCGTTAACAACAGCACACAGACTTCAAACACTGTCAATAATTAAAATAGAAAATATTGTAATGTCAAAGGATGTAGTAAAAATAAAAATTCCTGATCCAATAAAAACGTCTAAACGAAATAGTTTTCAACCAGAGTTAATATTGCCAATTTTTTGAAGAGAATCCAAAACTTTGTGTTGCTTCCTTCATTAAAGAATGCTTACAGGCGACAAAGAATTTGAGAGGTGAAGAAAGAAAGTTATTTATCTCGATAAAAAAGCCTCACAAAGCGGTCACATCTCAAACTATCGGACACTGGATAAAAGATCTGCTAGAAAAAGCGGGTATTGACACTGAACAATTCAGCGCGTATAGCACCCGACATGCCTCAGTTTCAAAAGCATTTAATCGAGGAGTAAATCTCAGCGCCATAAGAAAAACAGCAGGTTGGTCTGAAAGATCAGAAGTTTTTGCGAGATTCTATAACCGACCAATACAGATTTCAGATGATTCCTTTGCGCGTTCAATCCTTAATAAATAAATAAATAAAAGTAAGGATCGTTAAAATAATAGCGATCTTATATGAAGCTTTAATGTATAATTTATGTTCAATTATAACAGAGTGTGTATAATAAATTTGGAATATATAACACAATACAATAAAGGGAGAAATTACCACATCTCTAAACATCTACAATTGTAATCATCGAGAACGAGATGTGAAGTATAATTGACCGATCGAACGAGCCCGCCGAAGGCGGGCGAAGTTCGATCGCAATTATGCGAACATCTCGTTCGAAGATGATTACAACCTCACCCTCCCAAAAAAAAAAAAAAAGTATGTATATATACTTACCCGTAATCATCTTCAGATGGTGATAATTTCTTTAGCCTCTAAACAATATGAGGGCATCCAGGTGGCGCGCGGCGCAAGCGGGGAGGGACAAAAATCCGCAAGCTCTAAACGTTGTGAAGTTTCCCTACGCGAAGCGTACTACAATTGTAATCATCTTCGAACGAGATGTTCGCATAATTGCGATCGAACTTCGCCCGCCTTCGGCGGGCTCGTTCGATCGGTCAATTTATCATTAAATAACTTCTTAACATAATGTATATAAGTTTTAAAAATACAAGTAGACAACATTATTATTATATTATATTTACCTTCTTTATCATTGTACATATTTTCCACAATTGATGTTGCGCCTTGTGTATCCTTATGTTGTATTACGGAATTCTGTATTATTATTTTTGTATTATTTGTATTATCAATATTTTCTTTATCATTTATAGCATCTTCAGTTAACTAAAAAGTAAAACTATTAGCAATATTTCAATATTATGCAAAAAATTCATAAATTTATAATTTTTATACGTACATATGGAATAGCATCTTTTTTCAATTTCCTGTAAGAATGGTTCGATTCATAATCTTGTTCCTTAAAATGTTCCGAACACACAGCTGCTGATTTTGGTGGATCATAATTTTGTATGTTTAGTGACTCGAGCCACTTTTGTTTCCTCTATGTTTTTAGGAAAACTAAAAAAAAATATTTTATATAAATATA